GACGATAATAAACTCAACTTACTAGCCTAAAATCTCCGTAGCGTGTTGCCAGGCGGCAGAAAGCATATATATAATTATAATAAACTTACAATAAATTAAGTTAATATATAATTATATATACAGTAGCTAATTTATATATAATTAATATATAATTATATGTACAGTACCTAATTTATATATAATTTATATATAATACTAAACAGACGATAGCAAACTCAATTTAGCCGCTCCGTAGCGTGGCGCAGGGTCGGAGGAAAGTAGTTCGGCTGCTCATCCACTATTGGTCCAGACTCTATCAATCTTGTCGCGAAACGACGTTATGGGAGGTATGTTTTACGAGAGTTTGTACAATTTTTTCGTTACGTTATAGGAATTGTCGTTATTAGAACGTACGTTATAGGGGGGTCGACTGTATATATATATATAGATTATATTATCAATATATATACTTATACTTATATATACATTTATGAAATTTTGATTATATCTATTTTCTGAGACACTAAGTTAAATATATACTACGGTAAAATACTACGGTAGAAACCTGGACATCCTCGATTTTCCTTGATTTTTTAAAATTATCTTTTAAACCCTGCTTTTTCTGTTTTATATTTTTCATATTTATTTTCTGTGACACTGAGACAAATGTCAAGGCTATCACGTGACTGTGACATGAAAATATAGTGTTATTATAAAAAATATTTTGTTATCAAGTTATTGATGACTGAAAAATACTTCGAATCCCATAAAAGTCTGGTGAAACCAAATTGAAAAAAAATAGAGCTCAGCAGAAAAATCTAAATAAAAAAACTTTTAAAAGTTGTCGTATAAAAATTTTGGAAGCTGATTTCACAGTATAACTGAACATGTGACTAAAATTCCTATTATACCGAATACAACTACAGGAAGTTTTGGACAAAAAGTCATAATGAAAATTAATCGGGAAATCAAGCATTGTCACTAAAAAAATGCTTCTAGCTTTCCTGTACTTTGCGCTTTAAAGTCGTTGCATTCTATTAATTGGGTTGAACGTTAAAATATGTTTTAATACTCTCAGCGTAGGAACTTAATATAAAGCTAGAAGTCTTTTTCTGTAACAATGCTTGTTTTCCCATTTATTATCGAAATGACAATGCTTTATGCAAAATTTTCTTCAGTTGTAGTCTGAGTAATGTGCACTTTGTTCACATGTTGAGTCTTACCGTTAAATATGCTTCCACTATTTTTATGCCACAACTTTTAAAAGTTTCCTTCATTTAGATATTCCTACTGGCCTCTACTTTTTCATCATGGTTTCACCTGTTTTTATAAATGAAATAAACAGTGTTTTAAGTGATCATTAAATATTGTGTTTAAATACAACCGACAACAGACTTATCATATACTATTTTATTTTCATTCAACAACTAACTTTAGATGTTGCTCAGTTTAAGAGAAGAATAAGATATGTCTGTTTTTGGTTGTGTTTCAACCAAATGTTTCACTGATTATCTATAATAAAGACATCAGTCCCTTCATATATAAATATATGTAATACTCTAAAAAAATTGTTAGTATGTCAATTCGGAATTTTTGTACATACTTAAACAAAATTATATTATTAATAGTAATTACTTATATCTTAACTTTATTTAGCAGCTTTAACAGGCTGCAAAAACAGCTGAATATGTTCTGAATGTAATGTATAGAGTAAAACGTGTACAAAATCGTGAAATAATTTGTCAATGCCGAATACTTTTTGTCATTTACGCATTACTAATATCGATTTGTAAAATATATGAATTATTTAGGGAAATCTGGTAAAAATGATCAAAAATTATCTTCAAAATTCGAACACATATATTCATTTGTAAAATTTCTTTAAAACATTCTTCAGTGTAATGTAAAATTAAATACGTATATTTTGTTATTTATTACCTGTTTAACTTCAATTAATGATTGCATTACAGATATTCCAAACAATTTTAATGTGGTAATGCTTTTATATTTTTCAAAGTATAAAGTTTCTTCTGAAAGGTAGGACATTTCGGTTATAAAGTGAAAAAATCTCCACCAATTTTCCGGATGCAGAATAATTCTAGACGTAATACCAAATTTGTGTAAACATTTGGAATGCTCGAAATCTTATGCATTTTCCATAATTTCCTGCAGTACATATTTAATAATATAAATAATACATTTATTAATTTGGCACGGTGTTAGTTATAATTACTTGAATATGGGAATTTACAATGTGTTCAGCACGACCTCTATACAGCATTAATCGGTTTTCTATTTCTGGTATAACTGGAGGTTTCCACAAAGGAGGTTTAGCTTCTGCATGATGCCACACGTAAATAAATCCGTATTGCTCGATAGTTTCCCAACTTTTTATTCTAGACATTTCTGGAACTGAATTTAAAAACATAGGATACTTAGTGTTCTATTTAATATTACTCTAAAAGCAAAAGGTATCTTACCAGCATTGCAAGAATATAAGCGTATGGTGCATTGGTTCTAGTGCAATATTTACTGTAAAATTAATTAATTCTTCTAATAGGACACACGTGTAAATCGAACTGCAATTTTGTCGTAATTCGTAAAATTTTTTATCTCTGTTGATTGCAAAGAAAACAGAAGAAATTTATTATAACATATAGCATAAAGGGAAAAAAGTCTGATTATAAAATATGAAAGCATTGCGTAATTTATTACAAAAGCTGTTAACTTTATTTTGATGTCGTACATCTGTAGAAGGCAACGATATTTGCAGCAGAAAACGAAGTAAGCGATTGAAACTGTCAATGTATATGGCACCTAACATATCTGGCCACTTCCATCACAATTTGCGTACTCAGCAGGTCAAAACAAAGCATAGATGAAATGCTGACACCAATCGAGCTGACCCATATGACGATGAACCCGCTACACTAATATATTATGGTATACCCGCAGGAATAAATTCTCGAAGTCAAATCAAAAATTGATGATTATGGAACAGAGTTGTATTTCATAACCCGCGTATAAGACGAGGTTTTCATTCAATTTTCACTGTTTCAAAATCTTAGGTCATGCTATACGCGCGAGCGAAGGATCTTTTGCGTTGTGGCCAACCTAGCAACACTTCAACACGTCCCTTACTTAATTTTTGTCTCCCTCTCGAGTTCATTCTTACCACGTGCATTGTACTGGTGCCCGTCCTTGTACCCCAGTTCGAAATAAAATTATTTCATATTTTTAACATCTGTGATTATTTGATATGAAACCCAAAGCGGTTTTGCAATGATTTCTTTGAAACATGTACAGTAGACCCCTATAAAACGGGTTCCTATAATTACGATTCCTATAAGACAGCGAAAAAATTGCGACGGTATCCGTAAAAAACGGTAAAAAACTCCTGTAATTACGTAAAACATCATCGGGCAGCCGAACTACTTTCCGCTTTCTTGCGCCACGCTACAGAGAGTTTAGGCGAACTATCGTTTGTACAGTATGTGAATTAGGTACCGTAAGTCTAATACAGTACTGTAATTTTATACATTTCTTGTGAAAAAAACATTTCTTATTTAACGGCGATAAAAATTATTTATATTAATTAAAAACTTTTAGTTTCTCCTTAAACGATTTTTAAATAGTTCGTATAAATTTGATATACTGAACGTATTTTTAAACTATATGTTTATAATTAATTGTTCACCTATGGTTTTGAAAAACCCTGAATCGAAATAGGGCGAACACTCCAAGAATATTTGCAGGGAACTGGTCTTCCTCGGAAAATTCGGGCCCCGTCGTCACCATCCTGTCGAACCCACGATAGACATGGTTAAAAAAGCCCTCTTACAACCCAAAGGGCGGTAGGAGCCAAATGAGAAAGTAAATTTACATTAATTATGTTTTTAATTTATTCATTATGTTAAGAATTTTAAATAACAAAAAAAAAACCACTTAAATTTTTCTTACTGTAGAAAGCTTTGACATATATTCGAAAATACATCAAAATAAATTCAAAATCTTTTACTCTATAAATAAAGTATAAGTTTTGGAAACTTTTGTCATATTTTATTTTTAAAAACTTTTTATATTTATAACTATCATAACACGACCAAAAGCTTAGTTTTGAGAATTACGGATGAGTTTTATAAAAATAATTGTAAACGCTAATAACGAGTAAAATCGACATTAACTCCGACCTTACTGGAGATATATCCGACTACTATTATCTCCCGTTACGAATTTTAGTGTATCCATAAAATATACAAAAAAACTCTGTAAAAGCTGCTAAATGAATATACAGTATTAAATTTCAAAACGAATAAAGTCACTTGTTGGCATACGTTTTATAAACCAAATAAAGCAAATTAGGTATGAAAGTAAACTCTAGATGCTCAGAAAACTTAAAATATTTGGATCAATCTTTAGTTGATAGAATTATTATTGATTGAAAGTTCTATAGAACACATGATTAGTACTAACACTTTTGTTTACTTACAATCATTTGTGATATTACATCAGAAGTTTGTTACGCATTTATTTAATTTATAAGAGTCTCGTCTAGTAGCCAATTCTAAAACAGACAAAATTTTTTGATGTCGAACCGAATAGAACCATCCATAAATAACAGATTAAAAATATGCCCGGTGATCTCCACTTACCATAGCCAGGTGACATTTTCGACATCTTTTCCTACGACTTAACTTTAGACAAAGAGTTCGTACTTTTAATTTTTGAACTGACCATTGTAACTGGCATTACCTGGCAGATCCGCTGACTTTCAATGATTAAACTGGGAACAAACCTATTAATTAACTCAGATTTTCTGATTTATTAAAATGTTTTATGAAATTCACATGATCAAACAAGCAAATAATTAGCAAAATTTAGCACAATAAATATTTATATATATTAATATTTTCCAAAAGTGTTCAGTATCAGCTATTTAGTGAACTCATTTGCATAAAAACTAACACATGATTGACGTAACCGTTTCTATTCCGGTGAACTTAACTTGAAAAAGTGTTCGTTTTGAGTGTCAAGTATCCAGGAAGGAAATCGTTGACTAAAATTTGAGAGATTCGGAGAATATTCTTTATTATTCGTACGTGCTTCTACTAATACACGTATTATTGCAAGGGGCGAAATAAGATGTCAAACGTGAAAGAACAACGATTTAACTTTCACGAAGTGACTATATTCAACGAGAACGGAGAATATGTCGTCGTATCACGAACATCCTTGATACAAAATGGAGGATTGCTGAAAAACTTCATAATTGTGTGTCCGAATGAAATGAAGTTAATTCTGACATTACCTCTGACATTGAAAATGCTGAATGAATTTGCAGGGTTTGTACGAATCCATTATACAGACGTTTCTTAGTATGTAATGTATAAATCTAACTCGCAACAATACGACTAACCCGTATAAAGGAAAAGATTATTTTTTTAAAAAAGTTCGGTGCAATTATTTTAATTGGTTTGCATTGGAAAAAAAACCGAAAAGCAGTGGACAAAACAAATTTATTGAATCGAAATAATGCAATTATTCGTAAAATTTATTTATTATTTAATAACGAAACAGTTAATAAATCATTACTTAGTATATTGGATGACCAAACGATGTCGTAAATGCTATTTTGCTGCCAATTAGCAATCGTCATTAATAAAGGTTTTGGTCGGTGTGAAGTCCAACTCGCATACTCTCACATCACCAACTACGAGGATATTTCGAAGGATTTATAAATATTGACTAAAGGTCTTTTCAAAATTTCGGATCTATTTTAAACATTACACTTAATAGTTTTCTTGTTCAATTTTTTTCGCCATTGTTTTTTACGCAAAAAAATGTAAAATACTATAAAATATGCCAATTATTTATGATATTTAAATTTGTAAATGTTTCCTTTTAGGTTTTTGGAGAAAGAAGGTGTTATTTTTACTTCTGCGGATAATGGATTCGAAATGTACCTCATCGGCAAACGTTACTTCATTACCCAACTGCAAAGAATGTGTTTCCATTATCTTACAGAGTCGATTTTCTGCACAAACATTTGTCGCATCCACGATTTTGCTTGCAGACACAACGCAAAACAATTGCAGTTTCATTCTTGGCGAAGTTTCCGTTGGTTCCAAAAGAACTATTTCCACACAGATGATTTCAAACTTTGTGAAGAAAGTACCATTTACAAGTTGTTGAAGTGCTCCGTCTTTTCCACAATAGAAGAATCTGATTTGTTGCGTGCTCTTCTCGAGTGGGTCGAGCAAAAATTTTGTAAACTGAGAAAAACACACGACGACATTTCGAAGGGAGAAATAATAAGACCGTTCCTGCCGTTGATTAGATTCTCTATGCTGGAACCACGGTTAAAAGAACAGCTTTTGAACTTGATTAGCAATGTTTGCATTTCGACAAAAGAAGTTAAATCCATAAGAAGATATCAAATTCAAAAAAATGTCGCGACTCTTCCACCAATAATATCTGCTTACGCTAAACCGAGAAGAACTTCTGAATATTCTTCGTTAATTGCCGAAAATTCCATGACGTATGAAGTGTTGAAACGAAATACAAGAATGAAACCAACTTTTCTGTTTATGGCTGATTTCTGGGTTTCCAAAAGTTGTGTGGTGAATGCGATTGCTCTGCCAATTAGCCATCGAAACCACGAAGGAATAGAGGTTTTGGTCGGTATGAAGTCGACGTATTCGCAACATTTCGTCTACGAAAGAGAGATCTGTGGTATGGACGGATTTGTATCTTTTCGAAAAATGAAATATTTGCGGCAGCGCAGCTTTAACATATTTTTAGTTAAGGTTCCGAAGG